TCAGCAGGGCGTGGTAGCGCATGCCTGTAATTCCGGCTACTTGGAAGGCTGAGATGGAAGGATCGCCGGAGCCCAGCAGGTTGAGGCTGCGGTGGCCGGGAGCGGCAACTGCACTCCAGTCTGGGCGACAGAGTGAGACTCCAACTCAAAAAAAATAAATAAATAAAATAAATAAGAATTTGTCTGTGTGACTCAGCACATCCAATAAATGATCTGGCCAAGACAAAGGACTTTCCCCAAGGGCATAGGCACATGGGCAGAAGCTCCCTCCCCCAAAAGAAAACTTGTAGGCCGGCAGGGACTTCCCAGCAGTTAGTGCAACATTTAAACTTGGCCAATGGAACAGAAACACATATTGGGCCCATCCAATGACCACACACACGACCCTAGTCAAAGAGATAGAACCCCACAGAATGTGACTGTGGGGGCTCTTGAGCCACTCTTGTGCTCAAACCTGTCTTATCACTCTCTTGAGTGTATTATCACTTCTCTTCTTGCTCAATAAACTTATCTTTGCCTTTGCAGCTGGTGTGTTTCATCCAATTCTTTTTTCGACATGCTGAGAACCTGTTTTTCATCAGTGGATTTTTTTGGTTTTTTTGAGTTGGAGTCTCACTCCGTTGCCCAGGCTGGAGTGCAGTGGCATGCTCACGGCCACTGCAGCCTCAACCTGCTGGGTTCAGGTGGTCCTTCCGCCTCAGCCTTCCAAGTAGGTGGAACTACAGGCACGAACTATCATGCCCGACTAATTTTTCCATTTATTGTAGAGATGAGGTCTCCCAAGTTGCCCAGGCTGGTCCATGGTGAATCTTAACTGTGAACAACCCTCAATACTAGATGACATCATTGACTTTCTGGGATATTCTTCTAGACTTGTAATGAAAATGCACATTTGTATACTCACATGCAGACACAAATTTATATAGACACACACAAAGGTTTCAGAAAGAAAAGACACTTTGTCTGAAGAATGCAAGACCCTTTAAATTATCAGGCCCAGGGAGGCACTGAAAGGTTGTTAAGCCGGGCTCGGTGGCTCAGCCTGTAATCCCACGCCTTTGGGAGGCTGAGGTG